GATCTACTCGGATGTAGCTCTTAGCAAATACTATAATGTTCTGGAGATTATGCAACACTTGACAATCGTGACTAAAACACCACACGAGTACATACGAGGACATACGAGTACATACAAGTACATACTAGTACATACGACTGACATACGAGTACATACGAGTGACATACGAGTACATACGACTGACATACGATTACATACTGGTCACAAGTATATATTTATATATAACCCTAACCCTAAACCTAACCCTATATAGTCGTATGTCACTCGTATGTACTCGTATGTCAGTCGTATGTACTAGTATGTACGTTGAAAAATAAAGCACTTTGTTGCTGGTGAAAAGCAACTTTCAAATCGTGGGAATGTGTTTGTCACACTTAAAATATATACTGATGTACATTGATAAATAGTTAGGTGTTCAAAATTTGCAAAATGTTCTAACTTCCTGTTGTCAAAAAGAACATTTTCAGGTTTGCACCAATTATACACACCCAAAGTGACAAAGACTTCTAACGGTGAACGTAGCATATTGTGTGAGAATTTGCTGTCATTTGAGATTATGTAAACTCGCACAAAATATTTGTAAATTGTGAAAGACTGGAAAGAGAAATATGTTCATTTGCTTTAGGTCTTTCATTGAACTCTCCAAAACGTACAGTGAGCGAAATGAACCAAGCAATAAATAAACTACAGTAAATGCACTAAACTGGTTCAATACAAGTATACTGCTCCTACTAAGTTAAAGTTTTTATTACCGTATGCACGAACGAGATATAATAGATATTGGTGATTGCCTGTTGATCTGTTTAGTTATGACTATTTTCATGATATATTTGCAGGGTTTTGTGAAGATTATGACTCCGATGATTCACGAGTCAATTGCAATTTGCAAATACGCACGGATTTAATTAGTATAAATAGTTAATTTTTGTTTTTGTTAACTTTCACATGCGCTCATTGTCTAAAGTTGAACAATCCATATTTTTATAGTGGCAAATACTAATAATTACTTTACCATATACAGCTTTTATACAGCATTTTTTTTTATTCCGCGTTTTACCCTCTATTCCGCTTCCGCAAGTTTGGACTCACATTACTTTCCGCAACGTTTCCAGAGTCAACTAGGGTATTTAACTCACAAAGGGATACATGAAGCCCACCTTTATTATATCGTTTACAGTTTACCTTGTTAGGGCAATTCTTAGAGATATGCCCCTTACTTAAACGTATAACACATCTTCCATATTTTGGAACTAACAATTTTCCATCCTTAACACTACTCACTTTTTCACAGTTCTCATGCGGATGCCTTTCCAAACAAAAGACAAAACGATCGTCTCCTGCTTTTGTTGTTAGTGCTGCTGCAGTTCCTTGCTCTTCCTTACCTCCTTAGTCCCTTTGCTGCAACTTCGGCTTTGAATTCTCTTCTCGCAGTTGTACTTCCGCTAACAGTTCCACAAGTGACTCATCCATTGTCCATTCTTCGTGCTGCTTTCCAGATTCAATCGCATCGAGTTTCCATCGCATCGTAGGGAGCTCATAGTATGGCTGAATCTCGCACGCTGTAAACGGCTAGCAGATTCATTAGTTCTTTGATATGAGTCATTTTGATGACGTGAGTACGACCACACCGTTGCTTTAACTGTTCTTTTGCACCCTCGTAATTTGCTGCCGTCAATGCATAACCAGAAAGTGAGTCTTTCGCTTTTTCTTTTTATAAACCGTGAAGATAGGAGAACTTGTCGACGTGAGACAATGCAGCATTTTGGTCGATTCAGCTACAAAAGAGTCCTAAAACTCTTGCCAATGCTCAATCTTTCCATTAAATTTCTGCAACTTTAAGTTTGGTAACTTCACTCGAACATTTCGACGACCCAGTGCTTGTTCGTCCCCACTCGATCGTACAGAATTGTGGTCACACTTTACGTCAGGTTTCAACGTTTCTTCTAACTTTCGTATTGATTCCTTCATTTCAGTTCTCAACAGCCTTGCTTCTTCGACTACACTCAAAAGAATGTCTTCTTCGAAGTCCTCATCGTCTTCTAAAAGACGCAATAACTCACTATCAAGCAACTAGATATCCACTGATAACCAGCTGATCTTCTAGCGTGGTTTTACGGTTCGAGGAGTGTGTCGAGGAGTCGCTCCTCAACTGGTTCACTAACACTCTTCGCGTTTTCAACCTTTTATTTAACAAGCCACAAGTACAATACATTACTAAAAGTATTTCTACGCTATCTGTTAGAGTTAATTATTTATGTCTATTTATACTAACGGTAATTACTATGAAACATAAGTCGAGCTTCACGTCATTAGCAGTACTCACTCTTTTATCACGTTTCAAGTTCTCACGCGTTACAACAAAAAAGAATTAACTAAACAAACAAAGAACTTAGTAAAAGTACTAAAACAAAGAAATGTTAACGGGAAACTAACCTAGCTACAAAAATTTTATTACTATGCTTAAAAGAATAAAATATCCCACAGTTCTTATCATATACCCAATCCGCTTTGCAGGCTTTGTCCTTATTTGTATATGATATGGATAAAAGCAGCCTTTAAAGGATACTACGCGTTTGCTAAGTAGTAATACATAGTATTGTTAGTATAAAAAGATGACCTTGGGAAACATTTTAATTTAATGGAGATAAAGTATTTTTTCCTTATTTTCCTGGGTTTAACGGCAAGGAACGGAAAAGATGGATACAAGCTTCCACTGAGGAGATGGGTTTGTTTGTAGAAACTTCAGCTACATATGTAGCCTTCACTTAGTCAGGGAAGATGGTCCGACAACAGACCTTCCATATCCTATATCGGCTGTGTAAAGTTTGGAAAATATAAGTTTTCATGAATAGTTTTGAGCGACAATAATGTTAATATCATAACTGATCCAATGAATGCCCCCTAATTAAATAAGCGTCTCGTATGTAATAAACGTCTTCCCTTAAAGCCTACCTATGATCTTGCTTAGCAATGCATTTACTATTAATATTTGCGTCGTGTTCATATATGCAAGCGGGCTGGCTCGGTTACCGAGATCTCGCCTGTAGGTAACGAGATCATAGGTAGGCGGGATGAAAATTTTCATATGAACTTGCTAGCCCGCTTACCGAGATGAAATTATGATTATTTGACTCTGAAGATGACTACCGCTAAGGTTGTCGAAACGTCAGTCAACAACAACAAAAACAGTCCTTCTCAGGACTTTATTAACCTGGACGATCATCATTTACAAACATATAACGATACTCCCGGGTTCAAATCATTTACTTTATTATGAAATTATATTAAAATATGGCGACCAATGGCGTGGAACCTGGAATTAAGCCAAAATAAACAATCATACGCTGGAATAATGGCATGATTTAACATTTTAATTCGTTATTTGAAGATAACAGTAGTATTCAAAGTAAAAACACACACCATAAACGTCATGGACCCATAATATAGTAATACTAAAAATTCCGGTCTATGATGCGCCATGCTAATTTTTAACTCGCGCAATTTGGGAAAATGTTGTTTTGCTATTTCGTCTCAATAGGCGGGATTAAATCTTTCATACGAAAGCGAGGTAATATTCGGCTCGCTCAGTGGGATGTATCGTTAACCTGGCTCATATGAAACAGGCCCTTTGACGCCTTTCGCTTAAAATGTATTGCTTCTTACAGACGTCCCAATATTATCTTGCCTTCATAATAATACCTTTATAATAGTGGATAGTTGATTGCAGTCACGAATCTAAGGTAAGTCAAAATAAATTACTGCAGCAATTTTTGCATATATTTACAATTCTAAGGCCCTTAGAGGCATGTCCATTGGTGAAATTATAGTGTTTTTTTGAAAATACTTTGAATTTTAAATTTCACTAGTTCCCAACAATGAAATGACACGACCTCATTTCTTATATTGAAATATTTTCGATTTCATTGTGAAGACATGATTACAGTGGTTGGAAACAAGTGAAAAACCCTAAATATCTTGCTGGAATGATGGCGGCCCTAAGAACGCGGTGCACACTTGGGTGGCCTTTTCTGTATAATTTTTATTCTGTGCTTAGAACTACTAGAACTTATGAGTTTCTTCTGGGGGTTTATTAGATCATTTGCGGTGCATCTAACTTTTAATTCATGTGAAGAGCTTGACAGTGTGCAGGGTGCCATATTACCATAATCGTATCTACAAATCTGATAGAAGGGAAAGATTAGTGAAGTGCTAAATACCTGGCAGGGGAAAAATTCAACGTCAGCCGCAAGCCAAATCGTGAGTTTCACTATTGATGTCGATCTTGAATTTGAACTCACTGATGTTCAACTTGACACTAAATTTAAGCGTAAACCTAATCTTTACCCTTCAACGAAAGAAACCAGAGAAAAGCCGTGACGATTGTAAAAGCAATAATTCAATTCAGTACAAAAATTGAGAAAGCCGCAATTCTTTTGAGAACATGTAGGCTTAAATGTGCATGAATTCGGCAATTTTTTTTACTTCTCCACTTACCGACCGTGTGGTACCTTCTAGAGGCTACATATGAATATATATAAATACCCATATCATACAAATAAGCAATTGCTTAAGCTTGTACCATCCACGATGCTCACTGACAAAAGATATCTATAAAGATATTTAAAAGATATTTAAACTGCACCACGCTTTTGATTTGCTGACGTGTGTGTTTGTTATATATGTCGAGCGTGGAGTCTACGTGAATCAGCATGAAACAAAATGTTTGCTTTGTTTATTGAAAAGCATTCCGTTCGCCTCCTCGGTTTGCATAAGTCCGTGCAAACAAAGACACAGTAAACATCTTCTTGCGCAGAAGTGATCATACAGCATCAGGAACTTACCGGAAATTGGAGGAATTTGCAGGCAAATGCAAACTCAGCTATATAACATTCAGTTAGCACACGAGTTGTATTTTTAGTTTATAAGTATCTGTAATATTGTTGAAGGATTTTGGAGATTTCTATTTCGTTTATTAGATGCGGCCGATTGATATCCGAAAAATGCATTCAACAAAAAACAGCATTGAAATATTGTCTTTTGATGGTGGAGGAAGTCGAGGTGTGATGGCATTGAAGATTCTCGACGACGTTTTTCGATTAGCAACGATTGTGTTGAGAAATCCTGAAACAGTAGAGTATCTTGTAAACGAAGAAAGTAAGGAACAGAAGAAGCATTTCTTGGAAGATCTTGACTCTCGAAAACGTCTGATCAAGAATCTGAAAGCAGTCAAAGATCCCATTCATCCTGCACATGTATACGATATGATAGTTGGTACCAGCATAGGAGGTTTGATCTCGTTTGGTTTGGTTGGGGGGAAAAGAGTTGGAAAAGATCATCATGAAAGAAAAGCAATGACTATTACGGAATGTATTGAAATGTATCTTACAAAAGCCAAGATCATTTTTAAGAAAACATGGATAATTAGGTTTTTTTATTTTATATCAAAGTTTTTAAAAATTCCTCTTATACCATATCCACAAGCCAACATAAAGAAAATGTTAAAGGATCAGTTTGGTGATTGTTACTTAAATGATTTTAGAAAAAATAATGATTCAAGTAGTGTTGTTGGGGCTGTTGCCAAAAAAGTTGATCCACACGAAGATATTGTACTCTTTGATACAGCAAATGAAGACCAAAAAAATTACAAAGCCTACGAAATCTTGCTCGCAACCTCCAATGCTCCAGTTTACTTTGAGACTCCAGTTACAATTGGCGATTCTAAATATATTGATGGTGGTATAGGTGCAAATTGTCCGTTAAAACAAGCAATTCCACGAGCAAAAGAAATTTTTGAAGAAGATGATGAACACAAAAAACTAGTTTCAGTTTTATCAATTGCACACCATCTTCCAAATTAAAAATTCCTTCAAGTGGTAATCTTATAATTTGGGGCAAATATTTACGGGATTCCTTGTATGATGGCAATAAGGAGTTTGAAGAAGTTGTCAAAAGCCATACCATGGAGGAAATTTTGTTTCAAAGGTTGTCCCCACGTGGTAATTCCTTAAAAACATTCAAGTTGGATGAGATCAATATAAAAAAGATGTTAGATGCCATGGAAGAAGAAAAGGTTAAGGATGACATGTTTCTTGTCGACGTTGTTGCCAGTGCAATGGTTGTTGTCTTGGCGTCTATTGATAAAGTAAAACAAAATCATAAGGATTCGCTGAGTGTTGCAGTAAAGCTTGCTAAAGCAGCAGGACTTGCATACGAAAAGAAGAAAGAATGTAAGTCAGCAATTGTCTCTCACCGAACTTGCGAACGTCTTTATATGTCTTCAAATGACAGCAATGATCTTACCATTATTATGATATCTTACAACATTGCAAAATGTTACAAAGAACTAGGAGAATATTCTAAAGCTTATGACTTATTCGAGTTAAATAATAAGATGCTTGCTGACGAAAATTTTGATGATCAAAAGTATGATCTGATTTTTGATAACTTGATCGGAAAAGCACACTGTTACCTGTCGACTTTTCAATATCAAAAGGCAGAAAACTGTTTGAATAAAATCTGCAATGATGAGATCAGAGATGATAAAAGACTTGTTCAAGTATTGATCTATAAAGCATGGTGCAATCATCAACAAGGAAAACTTAGGGAAACTTTCGATCTTTACAGGGATGCAGCCAAAATTACATTAGACAATGATAACTTTGATAAGGCAGAAATACTCAATGACATGGGATTACTTTTTATAGATCTTGGTATGAAAGAGGAGGCCTTTCGTTTCATTCAACAAGCCCAACATGTTAGAGTAAAGTTGATTGGACAGATAGACGATGATCTGTTGGCTGAGTCTCATAAAAATGTTGGTTTGTGCCTAATAGAGAAAGGCGATGGAAAAAATGCAGAAAAAGAGTTACAGAAAGCTATTGCAATTTACAAGAAAATTGGTGATGAAATTAAAATTTCTAACGTACTCCAAATGTTAGCCAGATGCATGCTTTTACAGGATCATTCGAACTTCAACCTTGCCTTAAATTATGCACAAGAAGCTTTTGAAAAAATGAAACCACAAGTGCCCATGTATTATAATCAGTACCCGACTCTTAAAATCCTGTCAATTTTCGGTAAGTGTTTTCTTGAAGCTGGAAGATGTGAGGAAGCAGAGGAAAATCTTGTAAAAGCTTCACGTTTGATTGAAAAATCGCTTCCAAAAAATCATCCACAGCTCATTAAAATCTATGATCTTCTTTCCCAACTTTATCATATGAATGGCAAACCCGAGCTGGTCGAAGAGTACAAAAATAAAAAAAGAAACATTAGCATTGAAATAGAAAAAGTAGCTTCGATTGTACAGAAGTCAGATCAATATCTGACATGGAAAAAACAATAAATGACGATTTCCGTAGTTATACTTTTTTATTTGCTTAATTTTTGTTTCTTTGGCTGCCTTATTATTTGTCAATTGTATTCATTTTTAACCGCAGTTTGTTAGTATAGTCACTTTACTCATGAAATGGGATCGAAATAAAAATCACCAGGAAAACGCTACTTACTTTAAAAAGCACAAAAGTAATGACGGCCTACAGGTGTATGTATATTAGTCAGTTCATATGTATTCACCACGTAGTACGCTCATTTATTATTACTTATCATATGTAAAAGAGCTCAAATATAGCTAGCTAAGAAATTTTGCATAATTTGTCAACTTTATATTTAATTCCTTTTTTCTATTCCAATATTCAGGCAATACATGTGTGTTACTTGACGCTCATTGTGCTTATTCTATTCCAATATTCAGGCAATACATGATATTTGACGCTCATTGTGCCTGCATCATTTTAGATCAAATTACCATTATTTATTTACATTTTGGTTCTTGGAGAGATTTTCATACCAAGTTCTATTGCTACTGTCATCAAAATAAGAACAATGCTTCCCATTTTCTCGATTAAAGTTTTACTATACAGTTATTTGCTACATTTGGCCATTGCCATAAGTAGTTGGTGAAAAGTTTTACATATTTACACTTTTTGAAATGTCGTTCATGTCGCCTTTCGAAATGTGGTTTATGTTCTCTTTTTAAAAAGTCATTGTATTACCAGTTCCAGTTGTTGTTTCAAATTTTAGTCAAATATTTAAAATCCAAGAGCTGATTTGTGCAAAGCACGCAAGGTTCGTATGGGAAATAATACTAAATGATGATAGATCGAGGTTTGTGTTACGTGTGGAAGGTGGTCTGGGGAATTTAGAAATACGAGTAGAGCTGACAGGCAGTCAATGGTGGTTTGGTACTAGGAGTAGAGCTGAATGGTGTTCTGTGGTGTTTTTTGATAGAGTAGAGATGAATTTTGGTGTATGGAGGTTTGGTGCATGGAGTGGAGGAGCATGATGGTCAACGAAATTTGGTACTAGAAATATAGTTGAATGAATGGTGTTTGGTAGTAGGAATAAAGGTAAGTGCTGGTCTTTGAAGGTTTGGTACTAGTATTAGAGCTGAATGGTGATTTATGGAGGATTGCAATATGAGTGGAGAAGGTTGATGATCTATGATGGTTTATATATAGAGTAGAGGTGGATAGGGAGAACAGCAGTTGCATTGTTCAGTTAAATACTATTTGGAATTTATTTTATCATTTCTTTCAACAGAAAAGCAAGATTTATTATTACACACCATAAGAGAGACCTTGGTGGCCGCACCTGGAATTGTTGCTACAATATCAATGGTAAAAATGGGATAATTTTTGTCATTCAGTAAGTCTTCCCTGTAATTAGCCTTATGAATCGTTTTATTACAACATCACGCGACAAGGTGAAATCAATAATGAATAGAAAACATCAATATTTGATTAGATATCTAAGGAGGGCAATGGTGTTTTTTATACAATTGAAAGGACAACATGAATATTTGATTAGATATGTAGAGAAGGTAATCGTGTGATTTATGTTATTGATTCATAGTATTATGCCTTCAAGGAAAAAAGTTCTTAATTGAAATTTTTATATTTTTTTTAGTTAGTCTGGATTATATGGGCGATGTCTTTTTATATTTCTCAGATGAATGATGGTGATGGAATGAGCATTCATGAAGCCGTGGAACAGCAAAGTATTTTAATCTCTATAAGACTGGTTAGTGACTTCTCTACAGATATGTGGTATGTTGTTCCTAGCTTATTGTATACAGCAAATATCACCTGTGTCCTAACACATTACTATCACAACATAACACTACTAAAAGTTCACATAACACACTATATCCTGATATATATTATACCATTCCACCCGTACATACTTACATAATACAGGTTATCCTCATATTTCATGCCATTCCATCCGTGAATACCCACATAACACAATACATCCTCATGTATCATACCATTCCATTCGTGCATACCCACATAAAACAACATAGCTCATACATCATGTTACGACCCATGTATGAATTTTTCAGAAAACGAAGATGTCATACTAACTACGATCATGTATCCGACAAGAACTTGGCAAAATGCTACTCTGGTTTTAATGAAGTGCTTTGGTGTGTTTTAGCTCGATTTGTGAGACTCATTTTTCCCAGATTTGACATTTTGTGAGATCTTCTTGATCCAATGCAGGTGCATTTTACATTTATTAATTGCTGTAGTATATTTTTTGAATATGTTAATTCTTATAGCATATTCTTTTTAAACTAATTAACTGTTGTGGCATATTTTTCAAACTGTGTAAGTTTTAATAGGTTGAAGTATAAAATATTGTATAAAGTTTTAAATGCTTACTTAACGTATAGTATTTTATTAGACTGGAAATTAGTCTTAATTAATTTGGAGCTATGTTTCATTGGATTGTACGCACCACATAAATGTAAGAGATTTTATATTCTTGAAAAACTTAAGCAGTAAATTTTTATACATTCTCAACAAGTATGAACTTGAAAATTTTAATTGGCCTTGCGGAGTTTACAATTATGTAGCAGCTTGCAATGCATGTGGAAATCTTTGATCACGAAGTTAGGAAAGTGTGGATGGAGGTGGATGATTGCTCTTTGTATTAGTGTAGACTTTATTGTGAACATTTCATGATTTAGTACATGCACAATTCGCAATAATTCATAAATGTACTTTTGCAGGTCCAGGTTCTCGCAAAGTTTTCCTTTGAAAGTCACGTAAAATGTTATCCAAGCTAAGAGCAAAGGCGACAAAAACAATAACAATGAAGAAATTGAAATGGTATGTTTCATATTGAATCGATAGTAAATAATATCATATTGTAGACATACGTAGTATATGATGATCTGTAATGGAGGAAAGGAGAGGAAAGTTAGTCAATTGCGTTCCCAGAAATTTTCCAGCCTTATCAATCATCATTGCATTCAAACACTTTTTTCGTTATGATGTAGGATTTACCTTTATAATTCAGCTTTACTTTATTTATATTTTTCACGAATCAAGTCCAACCACTGGAGTTGATCCTTTGTCACGGGAAATGTTGAAGAAGTAGGTTATTTATGCGAAAGATAAAATAAATAAAAGGTTAAATGATATGGATCAAGATAAAAGAGCGAGAATATTTGCTTACTCCAGACGCAAATCTATGGTAATTACGGGCGTGATGATTTCGTCAATAGGCTACGGTAGTTGAAATCATGATCTGTGTAACTATACATTTTTGGGTGGTTCTCTCAATAAACTATGGTATATGTAACTATACGTTGGTGGGTTCTTCTCGAAATAAGCTACGTAGACATAAAAGTATTTATAAAAGTAAACATAAAGGAGAACACAAAAATAGACATGAAGATAGTCACTAAGTTACACATAAAACATAAAAATAGACATAAACGCACCCAACAGATAACGTAGAAATAAAGGTAGACAGAAAGGTAGACAAAAAGGTAGACATAAAGGTAGACATA